AACTTGCTGTTGAAGACATCACTGATGGCTTCTGGGCAGGACTTAACCTGGAAGGTTTCAAGAACTTGCTTTTGGGGGCAGATGTCCGAGATAAACTGTTCCTCGCCTCCTGCTAGGCCACAGCAGTTCAAGGCCACGTGGATGGCTTTGAGTGTCTCCCGCTGGGGCCCATCCAGGCTCTTTAGCTTTTGGTAAGTGTTGTTGTAAAATTCCTGGACTTCCTTAATCACCTCATCCTTATGGGTATAGCCCCAGAAGGCTGCAGCTATCTCGATGGCGAATATCACCAGGAGAAATCCGAAGACCAATCTCAGCATGCACCGGGATTTTTGCTCAGCTCCGCAGCAGCCCAGGAAACCCCCCAGCATAAAGAGGGCCCCAACTCCCATCATCAAGTACACTCCCGTGTAGAAACTGGGATTAGATTCTTCCTGTCGGTTTGAGAGTCGAGAGTCCAATCGGAGCCATAGTCCAAAGGCAAATATCGCAAATCCGACCAGCCAGAACATGAAGTAAATTCCAAAGAGCACGCATTTGAGGCTCTTGCTATCCGCGTTGTCCGGCTTGGTGTAAGCTGGACTTCCGTGGGACAAGGAGCAGACACGGCTGGGACAGAAGGGATGGCAGCAGACTGAGACACGCTGAGGCTGGCGTTCCCCGGCTAATGTTTTAACCTCTAAATAAGAAAACAGAGCCATAAATAAACAAATGTACACAAATAATAAAAATCCAGAGACAGAAATTGGGCTTCAACCTGAAAACCAGAAAAGCAAGGCAGCCAAACCACAAGAGAAGACTTACCTCTACCAAGGCTGGGTGAAGGCAAACTAACCGCCACGACTTTCTCTCCCTGCATTTTATATTCCCTCTAGTGCTGGTTGGTATTAAAGGAGTAAGACTGGGATTAAAGGAGTAGACCACCACCACCTGGATTTGTTTCTGCTTTGACCTTGTGTAGCCTAGGGTGTCCTTAATCCTAAACCCTGGGATTAAAGGTGTGCCTCACCATTCCCTGGCCTCTAGTGGCTTTAGCTTTGCCACTGGTCTACAGGCAAGATTCATTCATTAAATAAACACAAATATACCACTATAAACTGTAAATCTCAGTTTCTGG